GCGCAAAATTCACGAATATGTGCGTCCGCGATAGCGATCGCGATTCAAATTGGGTATTGCGCGGCAAGATCGTGACAAGATTACTATGGCTTCGCGACGCGCAATGAAGCGCGGATTCTACTAGGGTCTAGTGTTAAATATACGCATGTAAGTTAATGCCAGTGATCTGCGAGCGCGGACCGAAGCGCCGCGTGGGCATTGCCTGGAATTTCGAAATGTTGTCAGACCTATGGGGTTCTCTGGGGACCAGATAAACCCAAATCAAATTAGAGATACCCGATGAATTACACAAATAACGCTAAAAAAATGATATATAACGCTATGACGCTTTCAAACTTTTGAGAGTCACATAACTCGTGAACTGATGCTGACTTGATGTCTATTCCATACTTGGCTTCGAAACACGTACTCACTCTGGTACACTTTTCTGACCGATGAAAAGCTACATGCACATATTCCATAACATAAGGTCGATAGTCGTGTAGCGAACGTCGGCCGAAGCGAGGCGTGAGCGGTATCCCTGATTCAAAGTCATATTACTGAGACGGACGAACATACACACAGATACTAGTCTGACGAAGGTACCTACACATATTCCAGGACATACTGTGGACAGTCCACTAGCGAACGCCGACCGGAGGGAGGTGTAAGGGTGAGACATAAGTTGATATGGTCAAGTTACTCAGCGAGTGCAGACGATATATTAATAATAAGAAGATTGCTGCGCGATAAGCGAAAATCTAAAAAAGTCGGACGAAGACTATAGTTCCACTGAAAGTGTGAAATAATCATTATATACCCTCCAAGCCAGGCATCGGCTAGTCCGACGGGGGCGTCCGAGTCGAGTCTGAGTCCCTGCACACATACATATGAGCACGGTGTGACGATCCATACTGAGGAACACGGTGCAGGATACCCGAGTTTAGAAAGTTGATCAGCGTCTCGACCGCCTCCTTACTGACGACCGAGTAGCCCTGTGGTAAACGGTGAGCGCTCAACATCATACAAAGTCTGATGAAGACTATAGTTCCACTGAAAGTGTGAAACAATCATTATATACCGTCCAAGCCAGGCATGGGCAAGTGCGATGGGTCGGGCGTCCGAGTCGAGTCTGCGTCCCTACACACACACATATCAGCATGGTGTGAGAGACTCCATGCACGCCAACATTTGTACGCTGTGTGACGGACGTACATAATGTTGATAAATTAGGTGAATTTAATTGTGAGAAATTATTAATGTACAAAATGCCACAATACCAACGTGCTTAAATGGATTTAGGAATGATGTGCACGTACGATGTTGCGCACGGATTCATGTGCTCAGGGTGCAAGTGCAAATCCTGCGCAAGATTAACTTACGCACAAGGAATGTTCCGCACCAGGTCGTTATGCGCTGTCGCTCTCGCACGTATCACATAATGAGACAGAAAATCAAAGTGATGATGTTGTTAGTCACAGTGTTTCTTTTTAATCTGAAGTTTTGAAAGAACATAATTAATTATTGTGAACTAACTAAACGATGATGTTTCGTAATTAACAATTAAGAATCAACAATTAACAATTTGCTAATTTTGAAGCTTTAACACGCGTCCAAAGAAAAAGGAAAACGGCTTCAAATTGTTCAGAATTGTTCGGAAGTATGTTCAAATTGTTCATGCCATTGTAATTTCTTCACTCTCTTGCTCTCTTCTATTTTATAAATAATAATACACGTTTGAAAACTATTCGAAATACAGTAAATTGGTCAAAATGTAGATTTGTCTATAAATGTTCCCCTAATCTGAAACACATACTTGTACATCGAGTATATACGGGAAACCTCAAATATCTAGCCCCAACACAGATGAACCACAATATCGGATTTTTTAAATGCCACCGAGTAGGATGTTCCTGTTGTAAATACAGTAGAGAATGTTCGTCTTTTTTTGGTACTGTTTTTCGGTAGTCACAATCATACACACAGACATATCAGCACTCTGTGACGGACGTACATACACACAGACAGATGACCACGGTGTGACGATCCATACTGAGAAACACGGTGCACGATTCCCGAGTTTAGAAAGTTGACTGTTCATTGCAACATGAACAGCGTCATCTGGAACAACATTTCTGAAGCCAGACGAATATGAATTTATTAGATTTTCTTGTCGAGCATTCACTGAATCGCAGTAGCTACTTTGATCTGTTTCGACTGATTCCACTGAAAACGCACATACACACAGACGTTCGGACAGTAGTGTGACGGCTGTACATAGAGATATATATTCTAGGAAGTAGTCTCTGCTAACGCTTAGATTCGACTGATTGAGATAATCTTTGTTGACACTGAGAGTAGACAATCCCTTTCATACTAATACTAGTAGTATACGGCTGTGGAAGAAGAGGAGAACGTGGTAGGAAATTACCGTAACGAATATATGTTCGACATTATCGGTATAGAAATCACTTAGCACTAAATATATATTATTGTGAAAATAATCGTTTTCCTAAGTCACTCCAAATCAATACAAATACTACCAAAACAAAATTTTGGTGCTGATGATCCGAAACTTAGGCAACAATTGTTAGATATTGTTCATACACACATGCACAATAGGAAAAATTCTTTTCGCTGAATAATGAAATTGATTCGTCCGCCACACCGTGCTCATATGTCTGTGTTTATGGACGTCCGTTACAGAATCACGTAGCTCATCATCGCCAGCCCCTCACGTAGCCGAGGCTTCGACGGACGGACCTCTGCAAGTTCGGTGGCTAGTGCAACTTTCATCGTTTCCCCATTGTACACAACATCAATATCGGCGGCGAATATTCCAGCCACAATCATGACCAATGCAATGAGATCACCATTGACTCCAATCGATCCATACTGACGAACACGGGGTACGATTCCCGAGTTTAGAAAGTTGACCAGTGCCTCGACGGCCTCCTTACTGACGCCCGAGTAGCCCTGTGCTAGACGGTGAGCTCTCAGCATCATTGCAACACGAACAGCGTCATCTGGAACAACATTTCCCAAGCCACACGAATGTGAATGTGAGAGAAAAATTCATCCATAATGAATTCTGACATATTATATAAAACAAAAAAGTCGAAGAATAATATCATCTCATCTCTTTTGCTATCTCTATGTTCGAATGAAAACATTTACATTCATTTCATTTCATTTCATACATTCATTCATTTTCCTCTTTAAACACGTTCTATATATACGAAAATAGAAAGTTGACCAGTGCCTCGACGGACTCCTTACTGACGACCGAGTACCCGTGTGCTACGCAGAGACGCACACACATATGAGCACAGTGTGACCGACGTAGATACACACAGACATATGAGTACGATGTAACGGATGCACATAGACACAGACATGTGAGCACTATGTGATGGACGTACATACACACAGACATATTGAACCTACCGCCATGGTCGATGACGTCATAGCTTTTAGACGTCATAGCTTTTAGTTGTCAGAACAGATACGACTCAGCATCGCTTTACAACTTTAACTCCAAAAAGTTTGGATTCGTGGAGGAGATCAAAAAGAAAAATAGATATTGGGATTACAGAAAAGAGAACATCGGCAATATCTCCTTGTTGACAAGCCCAGGGGGTGGCCATAGCTCCTTGTTGACGCGACCAGGGGGTGGCAGTAGTATCTTGTTGACACGCCCAGGGAGTGGCAATAGCTCCTTGTTGACACACCCAGGGAGTGGCAACAGCATCTTGTTGACACTCCTGGGAGTGGCAACAGCTCCTTGTTGACACGCCCAGTCCATAGGTTAGGTTAGGATTAGGTTGTGAAATTTTTTATAGGTTAGGTTATAGGTTGCCAAATATTGGCAACCTGCAGGGCTCTGGTGTGCACAACGAATCGTACGGTAAAAGAAAGACAATTTCCTTTTTTTTTTTGTATATTTTTACTAAGAGTGTTTCCTTCTGAGAGTTCTCTATCTCTTCTTTTTCTTAATAATAATTTAATATCTTTACATGGATACTGATTTAGTTCAAAAAACTTGTGCGCATTGGTTACGTTTGGCATATGCAAAGATTAAGAGAGATAAGACATATGTACACCAAAATTGGGGCAGTTTTCTGAGAGAATTGAATAAGGTATCACCTGATACGTTTGATAGATTCTCGGCAATTATTGGTATTAAAGGATTGAGAATGGTACAATTCATAAATTACTAATATTGTTGAATGAAGAAGCCATTACTCATTCACCGTCATGGTTAAATAAGATGCAGTTGGGCTTTGTAACAGAATATTTTCATCGATCATTGCAATCACATATGAGTGCTACTTATGCGGATGAATTAGCAAAATATAACAATTCAGAAGCCTCTTTAGTTACAAACACACCTAATATGGATTCATTTTCACCGAATTCTTCACAACTGAGTTTTTTAGATGATGAGGAGGAGAATACACTGGCTCATGATCAACTTCTAACATTGACCTCGGTTAATAATAAGGTGGAACTGGTTACAGTTCCGCCACAGTTGACGACCTCAGTGGGGGATAGAATAGAGATAATTCCTCCCCCTACATCAGTAAACACTAATAGTACGACTTCAACTTCCTTTCATACACGGACTGGTGGTATTACTGATGAAACAGTCAGAAATAACGGTAATAGTGTAACTACAACTACTACAGTTCATATATCTCCGATTAGTATATGTGCTCCTGTTCTCTCTTCACGTCGGTGGATTGATTCCGAGGTCCAAACGGACTTAACCTTTGAGACGTCAACCATTGAACAAGATGGCTCAGGCAAAAACATTGAAGGTTTTAGATTATATAAAGAATGGTGGTTAACGATGGACTGTAAAGCCCGAGTACATAATAATAAACTATGTAAACGAGAGAATTGTGAATTGAATCATCGGCAAGAGGGGTATTGCCGGATATGCAACGGTAAAAGTCGACATATGGTTACTCAAACAGCGTTTGCGGCTGTCGAAGAAGAGGAGAACGTGATAGGAAAATATTGTAACAAATATAGTCGATATTATCGGTTTAGAAATCACCTAGCACTAAATGTATACTATCGTGAAAATAATCTTTTTCCTAAGTCACTCCAAATCGAAGTACCAAAGCAAAATTTTGGTGCTGATGATTCGAAACTTAAGCAACAATGGTTAGATATTGTTATAAACGCTAGTAAAGATCTATTCAAATGCGAGGCACAAGCTATCGAACGAACGATTGCGCAAGCCGAAGCGAAATGTGAATTACTACTAGATAAGTTGTGTGAAATGACAAAGGAACGAGAAATGATGGAGGTGGAAAGAGAGGAAAGTGTAAAATTGAAAGAAGATATTGAAAGCTCATGGAACAAAGTATTTTCTCTAGAAATGCGAGAAATAAGTGCTCGGAAAACAAGAAATGAATATGAATCATCGGATGATGTGACATCTTCGATACAAAATATATTGTGGCATAACGACCTGTCTAATACTCAAAACGTTTCTCTTCATGCGAAACTATATCGTCCAAGAGTATCTTGTTTTGGATGTGGTAAGGTTCGTCACATACAGTCGAGATGTTTTGGGATTTGCTCATTTTGCAACGGACGAAAACACTCAGAGGAATTTTGTAAGAAAATTAAAAAGGTACTGAACCCATGTTTAACAGACTCTTCGTGCGATCCGATGGTGGATGAATTGAAACGTATAGTTCATACGGATGACTAGTCTCACGTTAGTGAGCATCCTTCACATACTAACACAGACTCTAACTATTCATCTAATCAAAATTTAACCCGACCGACTACCTCTTTACAAGCACAGTTACCTGCTTCTCGACGTTTCACTCGCCGTCATATGTGGCGCAATACAAATAAATACGATAGAAGTAGGAGTAATGACAATAGAAAGTTTCATATTCAAGAAAAGAATTATAGCGTGACATTTGATAGTGATACGGCTCCTAATAGGAGTCGATCTACTACTAACTGACATGATTCACGTACAATTTCGGATGAGCTATTTAGAATTTCGGACCATGTATTTAAGATTGGACATATTAACTTAAGTGAGCATGAGCTTAACTTATTGGAATATGGTCTAAAGTTTATTCCTTCGCATCCGTTGAGGGCTCGTAAGGGGATGATATTACGAAAATAGCCGACAAACATCCGAAATTGGACTTAAACAAAATATTGATTCGGGACGCTACTATTCAATCAAGTAAAACATTCAATCCCAACATGAGTCGGGATCAATATAAAGCTCTTATGTACCTGTCGAAACGTAAGGATATTGTGATTAAGCAAGTCGACAAAGGACAAGGCATAGTAGTTATGTCTAAGAAAGTTTATGAGAAAAAAGCGTTTGATTTACTAAGTGATACACGTAACTATACCAGAGTTGATAGGAACCCATTATGGACAACATATACGAAGGTTCGGAAGAAACTGAATGAGTTACTTAAGAATGGTAGCATACCAAAAACATTTACATGTAAAGTTCGCCATAGAGGACTACCGAAACTTCCTAACTTCTACATTTTACCGAAAGTTCATAAGAGAAATTGTCCGGGTAGACCTATCGTCTCTGGAATTGCACTGAAAAAGCATCTCAATTTCTATGCGGAATTTTGCAACCCTTTGTCACTTGCTCATCACGGATTGCTAAAGACAAGTACGCGTGTGCCTTTTATAAGGTAATATGTAGTACTCAAGAATTTATTAATGAAATCGAGTCGATAAATAATGCGATAAAAAACGAAAAACTGGATTTAAGGAGAATTTGGCTAGCTACGACTGATATTGAATCTCTGTACACTAATATTCCGATTGAGGGAGGAGCTGCAAGAGTTTCAGCATTTATATTTTCGAATAAAGAATTTGCGGATATGCCGCTTTCAAGACGTGGTCTTGTCCAGTTACTCAAACTGGTTTTGGGTAATAATATTTTCCACTTCGGGGGACAATATTTTTCCCAAAGGTTTGGCACCGCTATGGGTACACTGTGTGCACCACCGTATGCAAACCTTTTTGTTCTATTAAATGAATCGAAATTTCTTAAGAAACTTGACAAGCTACCACTGAAGTTTTTACGTTATCTCGACGATGTTTTCATGCTTTGGTATGGTGAGAAAAAAGATTTTGAATACTTTTTACAAAAACTGAATGAGATAAATCAAAACTTGAAATATAAAATTGAAAATCTTTCAGATAATAAGATAAATTTTTTGGACGTTTACTTATTTAAAGATTTGTGAGTAATCGGTTCGTTACTAAATTATTTAATAAACCTACGGACACATTCCAATATGTACGAGCCGAATCAGGTCACCCAGATTTCATTTTAAAGAATTTAGCAACAACCCTAGCCCACAGGGTCAAACGAATCTGCAGTGACGAAAGTGAAAAATGGCACGAATATGCCAACATTATTTTACGTCCAGGCAAACGGGGTCACCCTATTAAAAACGTTTTAGATAAAATCCGGGAAGTAGAAAACTTAAGCAGGATCGAACTACTAAAACTGAAAAAGATCGATGTCAACAGAGACAGGACAAAAACTGATATTCCAAAAATAATCTCGATGACATATAATAAACCACTCGGCCCAATTCAACATATATTTCGACAATATTCATATCCGAAAACGGATTGGTCAAAATGTATGTGGACATATAAGTGCCCCCCTAACCTTGGCCGTTGCCTGACTCACTCTAACCACTTGGGTGATTTGAGATCAATCATTCCGATCCCAGCAAGAAATCTAAAGGGCTTTAAGAAATGTATTAGGAAAATTTGCCGTTTTTGTAGTTTAAGTGAGGACACAATTAACTTCTCCACCGAAATCGAGTATAATATCGAGATTAAACAATTGTTAACTAGTGACACCAAAAACATATGCTATTATGTGCGCTGCCGACGATGTGGAGAGGAATACGTAGGTGAGACGGAAACATCCGCCAGAGAACGTATTTTTCGTCACGTATCCCAGATTACTATAATCCGTACAACAAATATAGGGAGACACTTTAGTCAAGTAGGTCACTCTATTAACGACTTATTTATTGTACCATTTGAGGGCAATTTCATGAATAATGAACATAGAAAAGCACGAGAATCATTTTGGATAGATAAGGTTAAACCTGCGCTCAATATCAAAGATTAAATAAGTAAAGAGTATTTTAATATTAATGTACTTGAATTTAATTAAAATATTTTTAAGGAAATCTTTTTAGAGGCGTTTTTTAAAAAAGTTGTTGTCTTTTAAAAAATCCAGTAAATATTAATACTAGTAAAAGTATTTTTTATCTCGTCCTACCTTCCTATAGGGCTCACTGGCCGTCTCTATTTTTTATATAATAATAAAGTAACTAATAATAATTTTATTAACAAATAATGTTGTCGTGAGGGGTGATTTCATCTCAATGAATGCATTAGCGTACATAACCACAATATTCGTGCACACAGTTTTATATAGTCTTAGTTAGCACATTTTTACACATACACTGCAAACGAGATGTGCATATTTTATTAAAAAAATTCACTTTAAGTGAATGACTTTTGTCTATTCACTCGGTGTTCACTATGTGTTGATGTATTTGCTCAATTTTTATGTTATGCACTGGAAATGAATGAACTATACACTAAAATGCCGCGTTTAGGCACATGTCAGTTACATTGGTAGTGCATAATCCACTGTATTTTCGTTGGACTTTCAAAGCATTGCAGTGCATAATGAGTGGATGGACAGTGCATCACCGCTGCCATTCACATACCATGCAATATTTTACGTACACTTAATGGCCATTTTCAGTGCATGCTACGTGCATGGCCATTGAGTAAAATGTATTTTCTTCTGTATAATGAGTCATAAGTGATTTTTCCAACGAACCAGTATTATTAAATCAACTTGTTTCAACGTGTTCCAGTTAAAATTTTATCAAACTTGATCAATCTTTCTGAACGAGTTGGAACCTGCCCTGTATCGTACACGTTCTAATGCGTTAGAGTAAGAAACGCGCTAAACAAGTTCATTTGACAACACCTTAGATTTATTACTTTATAGCTCACTTCTTGAGACATTT